AGGGGAAGGGTGGTCGGCGCAGCCCGGGAGCGGCCCTCAGTCTGCCGGCCGCGGGAGGGGCGGCGGTCCCCGGCGTCCTGGCGGCCCTGTCCCCGCAGCCTGCCCTCCCTTGGCCACTGAGCGGCCGCCTGCTCCGGCCGGGGCTCTGCTGGGTCTGGCAGCTGCCTTACTGCGGGGCAAGCGTGGGGTAGTAGTAGCTGCCTGACAGGACTTGACGTGATTCTTCCTAAAACCTGGGAACGCGTGGGATAGGGCCGCTGGTCTGAGCGGAGTTCCGCGCTCTTCAGGCCCTGAGGTGGCCGGGGTTGGGCTGTGCTGCCGCAGGCTTCTCTCCTCGTTGTGCTCCGTGTTAGACCCACCTACCTTCGGGATCAGGGCTAAAAGAAAAGCTTTTAACAAGCTACTGATGCTGCGGCCTGTTGGAAAAAAAACACTTCTTTCTATACGGAGACAGATTTAAACAGATGTCTAATGTAGGTAAATAATACAGTCAACCACTGTAACTAGCAGTAGATTAAAATAAATGAGAAAGGGGTAAATCATATTTAGAATTTAGCTTTCCTTAATATTACACCCGGGAAAGATCAAATGAGTATGCTTTCCATTTATGGTCTTGTTTTTCCAAGAATAGGATCTTGGACTAGGTTAAATTTGAGTCTGTGGTTGTGCCTTACAAAATAAGTGGGAGAGAGATCTGTGTTTCTGATGTGATAACTTTTTTTAAATGTTGAGAGTTGTTTGTTACTCATATTAGAATGGGGGGGAGGGGTTGTTCATTTGTTTTCACAGAATTCACTTGCGTTATTTCCTCAAGTGCTGTGAATTTATTTCTCATTTCAAGAGTAAAAGAAAATCAAATTTTTCTGTAAAATGATGCAGAAATGTATGTGCTTGCAGGTGCAAAATAAGCAAACATCAGAGACTCATAGAACTGGTGAGGCTGGAAGGGAGCTCTGGAGGAGACTGCCTAGCCCAAACCCCTGCTCAAAGCAGGGTCAGCAAGGGCCGGTTGCTCAGGGCCAGGGCTGGGTGGGTTTTGAGTACATCCAAGGATGGAGACCTCTCTGGGCAACCTGCTCCAGTGCTTAGTCACCCTCACAATTAAAAAAAAAAAAGTTGGTTTATTTTTCTTCTTACATTTAAATTAAATTTCTGGTATCTCAGTGTGTGCCCATTGCCTCTGGTCCTGTCACTGGGCACCGCTGACAAGCCTGACTGTCGTCTTTACTCCCTCCCATCAGGTATTTATACACAGTGATAGGATCCCCCTGAGCTGTCTCTCTCAAGGCTGAACAGTCCCAGCCCTCTCAGCCTGTCCTCACATGACAGACGCTCCCATCCCTTAATCATCCCATTAAGCTATATTTGATGCTGTATTATTATAATGTTCATATATTGCTCATGTAATTTTCTGTTGATACTTGCAGCAGAGTACAGCACAGAGCTATGTGCCAGTGAAGCTGTGTCTCAGGATCCCTGTTCTGCAATGAACTTCTCTGAGTAAGGAGATTCAGGGTGAATTTACATCTGTGTTGGGCTGCTTTCCTAAGTATAGGTTTAGTATCAGGGAGAAAGAACTACAATATATTCTGCACCACGAAAAAAGCGTATACTTGTTCTGGTGTTACAACGGTTGAAGTACCTGTGTTCTAAGGGTGCTGCTGCAGTTTGATTTCACATTTCCAAGCACTGTAGATACATGTTTCCAATGTATTATTTATTAAAAAAATACGTAGGGGAGAAAAAATTATTAAAATATATTCACCTATGAGGTTTCTGTGTATATCATTAAGAAGAAAAAGGGTTATGAGTCCATACTATTAAAAAAAAAGAAAAAAGCTCTTGCAGTTCACCTCTAATATAACCAACAGCATTTGGTTTAAAATGTTGATTTATGGCACACCTATACAAGACAAGAGAACCAACAACCTATTAGAGTTCACCCTCAGTTTTTATGAACTTCCTTTTGTGGTAGCCTGGATAGTATTGTACAGTTTTTAATCTACATTAAGTTATAGCATATCATCATTTTATTACTAAAGGGAATGAGTCAGCCTTGCCACCATTTGCAAGATTTGATTTCCCAGGCAACAATACAGTTTATTACGCTGCTAAAATTAATTGTATCTGCCCTGATAATAACACGCTTTGGGCTCAGTATGTGAACTGCCATTTCCAAAACAAAGGAATTTATGTCTAGAATCAGGTATCATAAAGGAACAGCTGTAAGAAATAAAGCACAGTTCTGCTATGAATCTAAGTAGTTCCTTCTGCTAGGACTTTTTGAGTGCTTTATTTATGTGAAAAATGACCTAGTGTGCTTGAGTTTTAAGTAAATTCAAGCATGACTTAATTTATTATTCATGAACTCTATTAACAATCACAATTTATTTTCACTCTAAAATCTTAAATTCTTATGTTACGTATTTGGAAGAGAAGGTTGAAAATTATTTGGAAATGAAAATGCAGTTATGTGATCTGTAACCTGGACTGCGGGATGCAGGTTTTACTGGAGACGGTGCTGTCTGGTTAAACAAGGCATAACACAGTAAACTGGATTCCCACCAGTTTAGGCTGAGGTCCCACGTGTACCCGAGGTAGTCTAACAGCTCGCTCTTGCCAAAGGAGGGGGATTTAGCTCCTCACTGCCTGTCCTTATTCTCAGTCACGTGAGGGTTTTTTCCCTCCCTTCTGCCAGGTGTGGCCCTCATTAGATTCTTCCAAGAATAAGTTAAAATCCCTAATTTAAGATAAAACTGTCCAGTTGTGGGCTGGTTTTCTGTCAGTTTATTGCATTTGACACTTGCTAAACTGATTCCGTGACTGGTAGACCTGGTGCAAGATGATCAGTGAAAGTGCGTGCGTGCCCAAGAGTAGCTGGGAGATGGAGGGAGAGAATAGGAATGGAATAGGGTCTGTCCCTTCGGTGGTAGTGAGATGGTCGATTGCTTCACCCTCCCTTCACATTTTCATAGGTTTTGGGGGGTGAGGGGTCCCCTCTACTTGTCAGGGTCACTGTGTTCTGTGTACACAGTGTATATATGTGCAAACATATATATAGTGTACGCTGTTGAGAAAATGAAAGCTCCTCACTGAGGTAGTGATGCAGAGTAAGACTGTATATACAAGCAAGTCTCTCACCTCTATTGTTGTAAAGGAGGTACCCGAAATATGAATCAGACATTTTCAGATATGAATGCTTGTAGAGAACTGAGACAAGTGGTCTCAGAAGTGTGAATTGCCTCTTTAAGAATTCTTAACACACATTCCTATTTAAGTGGTTATTTAAATAGCGAACTTCTGTTTATTGGAGCATCTAGGAAAGGTACGAATGAGACAGCGTGTTGGTGCCGTTAGGCTATGGGACTGGGCAAAGCTTCCACAGCCGTTTAGAGAAGAGCATTGTGGGTCAAGTAGCCCGTTGGCCTATGAAACACTTACCATAAGTAAATTGTGATTGAAAGAGAAAAACAAAAGGAGCAGTTGATATTGGGTGACTTAAAACTTTCAGGCAGAACAGAGAAGACGACAGTAAATAAAAAGTGTCCTTGGGAAGACGCAGAAAGGAATGGCACAACTGGGCCTGTGATATCAACCATTGAGGTAAATCTCCAAGAAACTAGAAAAATTTTGACAGATAACCAAGGAGCACGGAGCTCTGAACAATTCAGACCCATGAGTATACTGAATCTCTGTTCAAAGAAGCTGAATTACCCTCACCCTCTGCAGCGTGCTGTTTTCAGGTTCCCAAGGCTCCCAGGATTTCTGGCTTATTGGCTGCATTTGTGAGTTCTTCCTAGCCAGGACTACATATTGCTCCTTAATTTTTCATGATTGTATGTGTATCCCATAAAGCTTGTTTGATAGAGGACTTGGTCTTTATCTTGATTGTGGAAGGTTAAACTACCCTGTTCTGGCAGCAACACAATCATCTTTCAAACATCTTTACAATCAACTGAGTGAGCAAAGTCTCAAATTTGATGGAGCTTCTACTGCAGACCGCCTTGAACTGGTGGTGGAAGAATACCATTGCATTTTCTTTGCAAATATGATTGCTGCTATTTCCTACATTTTGTGTTGTGGTAGCGCCACAGATATGTTTTATGTTCAGAATGCTCTGTGTGCAGTAGCTTTCATTACAGTGTTTTAATTTCCTGTGTTTTGTACCAAAGTTAGTCTGTAGTGGTGCTAGAAAATTATAGTGTCTTCATTTAAGCATTGGTTGTTATTCACTGTCCTATTCTGAACGAGGATGATTTGGGCTCACAAAATGCACCATAACTGTTGGACTTCTGTGCTCCTCGTCAACTTGCACGTGAGCCAGCAGGTGAGCGAGCCGGTGTGGTAAAGGCCA